GTAGTAAGTGTAACAACATACCGATGTTACACTTTAAAAAAATCTTTTTTGTTGTTACACTTTGAAAAAATTCGATTGTGTTGTTTCATTTCAATAAATTTTTTTATATTTGTTTCACTTATATGTGTTGTGAATAGAAGTTGCGTTTTCATTCTCGGACATTCAAATGGCTAACATCGACCTTCTGATTATTCCATATTTCGAATGGAATTTTATTCGTTGCTCTGGTCTGGACTCTATTTTGTAAATAGGTTGCGGTGCTTGCTTCTCCCCAATACTTCTTAGGAAGATCTGCGTCAAGTAACATGCATCTAGCCATTTCAATTAGTGATCGATTTTTACGTTCAGCAATACCGTTCAGTTGTGGTGTGTAACCTGGTGTCAACTGTAGTTGAATTCCCTGACTTGCGAAGTATTCACCTAATTCGTTGTTGACATATTCGCCTCCTCGATCGCAATTAAATTTCATCGGTTTTCGTCCTTTTGACGTTTGTATTAGTTCGACAAATTCTAGAAGTCGCTTCTTTACGTCGCTTTTCTCTCTCAATAAATAAGTATGAGAGAATCTTGAATGATCGTCGATGAATGTCAGCATATATTTCATTCCACCTGGAGTTTGAGTTTGCATAGGGCCGCATAAATCGGAATGGATCAGATCCAAAATTTTCTTCGATTGTTTCGGTTTTTCTTTGCTGAAAGGTTTTCGTGACATTTTTCCTTCTAAGCAAATCTCACATATGTTGCTGCAATTGCATTTTCCAATTTTCATGCCTGTTACCATTTCGTTCGACATCATGGCTTTAATGGCTTTAACATCACGATGACCAAATACGCGATGCCAATAATGAATGCATTTGTTTTCTTCAACTGTAGCGTACACTTTTTCATTTTTCAATTCGAACAAATCGTTAGACAATGGAGCTACTGCGATTTGTTTTCCGTTCAGAAAAATTTCGCCTTGTTCACCGAAAAATTGAACTAAGTACCCTTTGCTGATCAATTTCTTGATTGAAATAAAATTCCCTTTCAAATTCGGTGCGTAGAGAACTTTTGTCAGCTTTGTCTTCGTTATTTCGTTGTTTTCATTGTAGAAATCAGCTTTGCAATCACCAATGCCTTCGATGATTACTTTGCAACCATTTGCGACCTTCACTATCGCTTTGAAAGTTTCATCCAATTCACAAAAATTGTTTTTATCATTTGAGAAATGGGAGGTTGCACCTGAATCGAGTATCCAATCGTTGTTCGTAGATTCGTTCATTGCAAATAATGCTTCAGTGCTTTCATTTGTTGAATTCTCGTTGATTTTATTTACGCTATTTTGGCTGTTCTTCTGTTTTAACTTGCGGCAGTCCTTCATCATATGATTAGGCTTCTTACAAAAATGGCAGAATAGGGTTTTCTTGTAATTTTTGCTGACTTTTAGTACTTTTTCGCTATTGTTGTAGTCGCTTGTAGAAGGGTTTCTACGATTATACTCTTCAATCACTTTCGACTGTACTAACGGTAGCTTCAAATCTTTTGAGTCTCTTGTTTCTAAAGCTGTGCGCAATGTGTGGTAGCTTTCTGGTGGACTGCTCAGTAAAATTCCGATTTTCCATCTCTCGCTTGAATCTGGTTCGCCTAAGTCAACAATTTTCTGCTGAATATTTTGCATTTCTTCGATGTGAGTTTGGGGATCCTTTGATTCAATTAATCGTAGTGACCATAAATTGCGCATTAATGAAGTGATATTCACTAAAGTGTCTTGTTCGTGGAATTTCTTAAGGGCGTCCCAGCTCTCTTTAGCAGATTTTTGGTTCCTGATATGAGGTAGTTGACTATCACTAACGGATAAACCAATTAACGCTCTCGCCTTTTCGTCAGCTTCGATGTATTTCTGAAGTTTAGCAGTTTCTGCTGTTGTTGGTGAATCTGAAGTTGTTGGGCGATTGTCGGAAATAGCTAGCCATGCGCACTCTTTTCTTAATAACATCCCCATCTTAAATTTCCAGTTGAAATTGACAACTATCGTTGGTTAATTTCGTCATTGATATCTTGGTGTCCATTTTGGTAGAAATGACTTCTGGTTTTTGAATTAACTTTTCACAATAAAATAACTATTTCTTCTTTTGGTTTGTGGAATCGCCCATAACCTGTTGGAGGATGTAAACGACTTTAATTCTTTTATTGAATTAAAATACAGTTTGTTTCTTTTATGAGCATGTTGAAGATTATCAATAGAAGTAAACATTGATTAAGCTATCACTAATAGCAATATGAATATCTCAGTAGTCTTGAGAATATAATTGTCATTTAATAATGATAGTAGGCTAAGAAAAGTATATTAACTGAAAAGATATAAATAGCGTGAAGCTATGAATAAGTCTTTAGTCCTATTTGAATTGTGAAAGAATAAACATAAAAATAAAAGAAACAAACTGTATTTTAATTCAATAAAAGAATCAAAGTCGTTTACATCCTCCAACAGCTCGTTCACTCCGTGTCAGCAGGTTTTGGACGAATTTAATTTTGCAAATGATGTTGTTTTTAGTGTAATGATACCCCCGCGCCCACATTGCAACTCTTCTCTGATATCGTGTGGAATTGCTGATGTATTTTTTGATTCCTCGTCAGAAATTAGATAGAAATAGTGCCTTTAGGCATTATTAAATCAACATAGAATGATGAACATATTTCTTGGTAATTTTACGCGGAAGATCCAAATATACCATAAATACAAATTAAATCGTAATTCACCATAAGCGGTTCTTTTGATTTTTTGATTAATACAACATTTTCATCTCAAAATAAAATTTATGAAGTCCCAGCCTTTCGTTTTTTTTTTCAATTTTCAAATAACATTTTTGACATATGAATTCCTTCCGGTTTTCAGTTGCATTCGATTATCTGAATCAGCCCGCAAATGGTATTCATCGCACGGGAGCAATCGCAGTTGGAGCTGTATCTGGCTATATAATTGCTATTCGCCGCGGTTTCTTCCGACGTCTACTATACACTAGCATAGGTGGATTGGGTGTTGCTTCAATTTGTTATCCAAAAGAAGCTGAATTATATTGGCACCAAGCAATAAATGAGACGAAAACATACGCTACTATTCTCTATAACTTCGCATATGGTGGTAAATAAAGAAACATAGAACATAAAACATATTCCATCTGACGCAATCATTTAAATGCATACCACTCAACATATAGTGATTACTCTCAACTAATGTAACCAATAATTTATTGAATTACAGTTAAGCCAGGCGATGAGCCAAAGCCTCTACCAAATTTGATCCCAGCCAATCTGAAGGACGGTTTTTACAACGTCAAAAGCTATTTTGTTTCGGAGAAAAAATAGAGATTCAACCGTAACGCAATTTAATCATTTTTAACGTAAAAAGATGTAACGTTTTTAGTCTTTTTTCCGTTTAAATGGAATGAAATTTCAGTGTAAACCAACTGTATGATTATACTTATTCGAAATACATGTTTTCTGAACGCTACCCAGCTTCTCAAACGTTTGAAATGATAACCATTCCGACTACTCTGTGCCGGACGAATTGTATAAATAAACATCTTACAAGAATTTCGATTTGTGTATTGATTTCATTTTGGGCGCGTGAGTTAGAAAGAAAGCGCAAAACCGAAACTTATCTTCCATTTCACACAACGCAACACAACACAACAGACTCATTGTGGCGTGGTGTTTCATTTTTTTACCTTATTTTATCCATTATGCGATTATATTTCGCATGAGTTTCTGCATCGACACCACTTAAATATGAATTTCATCACGAAGTGAAATTTGGCGCGTTGAGGGGAGTTGTCACAACCAAACAGTGGACGGATTTGTGTGTGCGGTGTTCGTGTCACAACCAAATTCATCTTGATGTGTGAAACCGATACCGCTTGCATTCATTTTCGTCCGAGCATTTGAAAAGGCAAGTCAATTGTTCAAACTAAATAATTTAGCCAATGTTTTCGGGTAGAAAATACATATTATCAAATTTATTTTCCTCATTTTGATTTTTTGTGTGTTTAGAATGGATTATTTAGAAAGCAGTTAGTAAAAATGAGAAAATAATTAGTACAGAGAATAAAATAGTTAGCGCAATATCGCGTATATAGTTAGTTAAAAACAGATAGAAAGATAGTTTGAAATTAGATAAAGAGTTAGTTTAGAATCTCATTCGTTCGCAAATTTATTTATTTATTTAACCCTCGCACAGGCATATTTCGATTTTGGGCGTTTATTTAACATACTTCTAATTTAGCTATCGACCTGAGATTTCATGTAGCTGCCTGAAATTTTATTGGCTTTCGATCTATGCATTTAAAAATTTGAACAAGTCCTTAGAACAGGACGAAAAAAAAGGATCCAAAAAAGACACCTTAGTTCAGGCACTTGGCGCCTGGCCAGACCCCTATATATTTTGTATGAAAACATATGGAATATAGTGTGTTTTGATGATTCTATGTGGTTTTTTGCCTCTCTTACATTACCTTGTTTATTTTCCTCAAGGCAGATATCATTTATCACTAATCAGTTTCGCGGAATACGCGAAAAACGCGAAAAATCACGAAAATTCCCCTTCTCATTATACACGGTACTGATAAGAGATAAGTGATATATGTCTGCAGCAAAGTTGTAGAGCAGGTCAAGTACTATACTTTTTTTGAAGATACTATCTCCTTATCTCTTATCAGTTTCGCGAAAAATTATGAATGATAAAAAAATGATAACTCGCGTTTTTCGCGATTTTTCGCGTAACTGATAAGAGATATTGAAATGTAGCATGAATAAAATTATAGAACTCAGTCTGCCTTACAAATTTGCTGAAAACACATATCCCTTATCTCTTATCAGTTACGTGAAAAACGATGAGGAAAAACGCGTTTATCTCGCGACTTTTTTGAGGTTATCTGCGTATTTTGCGTAACTGATAAGAGATAAGCGATATCTGCCCTCACAAAATTTGTAGGGGACCTTGAATATTACAACTTTATCGAAGATACCAAGCCGTTATCTTTTATCAGTTTCGCGAAAAAACGCGATTCTTTCTTATCACTTTTCGCGGAACTGATAAGAGATAAGAAGATATTGTCTTTGAAAAAATTGTAGTGCTTGACCTGCTCGACAACTTTGCTGAAGACATATACCACTTATCTCTTATCAGTTCCGTTAAAAATGAGATGGCATGCATCACTTATTCCCATACAAATACATGTAAATGCATAGGGGTCTGGCCAGGCACCAAGTGCCTGAACTAAGGTTTGAAAATATGTGCCTGTGCGGGGGTTAACACCGCCAAAAGACTGGCTGAATAATTAGCTTTGCAGGAAAATGACTCCAAGAGTCATGAAAAACCTGATCTTTTGATTTTTGTACAATTTAGTGTTTAACAATAGATATCACGAAGGACGAAAGTCCGACAAGTGACGCACCATAGACTGTGCATTTCAAGCCAAATATCAAAAATGCCAGTTTTTGCGTCACGAGTATATATATACAGTAAATATGCTATTTTCTCGGGACACTATTTGGGCCCCGGCATGTTAGGTACCGTTGGAAAGGTCTTGGCCCAAATAGTCGGAAATACCATATCCCCCACGGAGGTGGAAGCAAGCAAGCAAAAACTCTTCTTCGAGCAAGTAGCAAGTTGATTTTTTGAGTAGTAAGTAGCAGACTGTTCAATTTCCAAAGAAAAACTCGAATGAAGCAAGTGGGTTTTTACTTGCTTGAAAGAAGTAGATTATATTTCTGAGTATGCTCATTGCTTGTCTACTCCATTACTTGCTCGAACCTAGTTTAACGTGCTTTGGATGTATGGATGTATTGATTTTGGAAAAAGTAGAGTATGTTTCATGCGGTGAGCAAATCCCAAAATAAAGTATTTATTCCAACCGATATACTATTTATTTTTCACTACATTGTTTGGATCACAGTCACATTGACTACATTATTTTTTCAAAGAAAATACTTGATAGTATTATTTATGCTCTGCTTAAAAGTAATTTGTACAACTACAATTGAAAAAGTTACAATTGAAATAGATCGTAATTGTCATGAATGAATAACACTTTTTCGACTCTGTATGGGTCGATGGTTGCACGGCGACTTCTGATTACGGAACCAGCGAATGAGAATGAACTTTCGGCCGTTGCCGTTGTTGCTTGGATGCTAAATAAAACTTTAGCTATCGCAGCTAAATTTGGATAGTTGTCAGCAAATTTTCTCCAAAAATCCAGCACATCATCGAAGATTTCTCGGATGTCTTGAAATCGCAATAATTCGCCTTCAATTGAATTATCTAGTCCGGCTCTATGGATTGGCACATGACGAGACAAAAGTTTTTCACGCAGACTCATGTGTCGACTCTGAACGTTGTCCGGTGGATGCTCGCTCTCGTCATGTGGGTTGCTTGCACTTGGCAGCTTAATCTTGAGCTGATCAACCATTCGATGAAGCAGATCTTCTCTTGAAAGGTCTTTATCGCGAAGCCACGATTGTATTAATGGCAGGTGTTGACTCGAAGGGTCCAAAATAGCAGCAGCAATACATGCATCCGTCAACTGGAAACGATGGTCCAGATTTTTCAGGAGAATGTTGACTACTTTGTTAATAACTTCACACATATTCTCACGTTGGATTTGTTCTAAATTTCCCTTGATTTCCACATAGAACAAAATAAGTGAATTTAACGTAGGGTAACTGTTCCCTTGTACGTATTTGGTGAAAGTATTGAACACTTCGAGCACTTCGACGATTCGTCCTAGCAATGCAAGTTCTGAGCGTGATAAAATCAATTCATACGCTGCATGATGTTCAAGACATTTCTTGACGATAGCTGTAAAAATTCAAAAAAGAAAAAGAGTAATTTGTATTTGAAAATTTTCAAATGATGTTATGACGAAACCACACAATTTCCATATATGTACTCACCTGAATTATGAAAATGAGCATGACAGACTTTGTAAATGCAATTCCATCGAACTGAACTAATACTCTTCAAGCCATCCATTCCTGCTGGTGCCGCTGTCAAATCTTCGACGCTAAATCGCTCATCGGCTTCAATCGCTTCCTCAATCGCTGTTAATTCCTCAAGCAACTCAAAAATTTGCTTTTGTCGTTCATTTTTGGCCATTTTCGTTAACTGACCATAGCTGTATAGCAATGCTTTTTGGATAAGACGCAATTTTTTGATGATATTTTTCACATCTTCGATTCCCTCGCCCTTTTGAATTAGGTCAAATTGAATGAGTCGGTTGATGGAATGTGCTATGCATTTAATTTTGACGAATCCCATGTCGTTTACCGTTCGATTGACATTGGCCCCATCCACGACCGCAATTATTTCTTTGTCTCTGAGGCCATATTCATCCATCATTGCATTGAAGTTTTCTTCGATGCGTATCGATGTGTGTGGGTGTTCGAACATTGCTGTTTTCAATACACGGCTCATAAGTTTCCAACTATCGGTTACATAATGGCACGTATATGTCATGTATGAAATACGACGGTAATTGTCCGTCCACATATCAATTGCGACGCAACAGTGCTCTGAAAAATGATCAAAATAGAAAAATGTTGAAAAAAATGAACACACATTCCATGTTTTGAATTCTATTGACTGAATCAATCAATTTGATTCGTCATTTTGTACTTACGTTGGGTTTCTTTCAAATGACCAATCAATTTTGTTTTCAAACAGTCAAACATGTCATCAAGGGCCATGTTTGCAATTGTTGTTCTCGACGGAATGTCACTCTTTTTCCTATTTAGTGAGGTGAAAAAATCCAGAAACCCCACTTTTTCGACCACATTGAATGGCAGCAAATCTCGACAAAGCCAAACCAAAATTCGTCTCGAGAACACAAACTTTTCATCGACTTTTCCCACTCCGTCTTTTTTCTTTTCTTCTGGGATTCCCCCATGCCTTAAGTGTGGTCTAGACAAAAATATACCGGTTAGAAAATTTCGATAAATTTTCAAATCTATACCCATGTCTTACGAAGGGGGTGGGTACCCAGGGGGTGGTGTGAGAGAAGCTCCTCCTCGCCACATTTCCAACGCCGGTCTAAGTGCCCCGATTGGTCCAAAAACGAAAAGTTATGGGCTTTGGTAGTTTGATCTTGATTTTTTATGAAAGTATTGATTTGTGCGTCCGTCCGTACGTTCGTGTGTCCGGAAACTTTTTAGACCCCACAGATTCCGGTGCCGATATGCCTAAGCTGTAGCTGGTGTCGGGCCACATCGAAACCCGTCCTCAGATTGACATTTGCATTACAGGAGAGCTGGCTATGGCTTCGCTAGCCTGCATGTATACGATTTTTTCAAGTATTTATTTTCAACTTGTGCTTTTGAGCGGCGCGAGATAGCGGTAGCGCCTAATTAGACAGCGTGGTTGATTGTCAGAACTACATGACATTCTGTCAACGTTCCTCAATTCAGCTTCTTTAGGTACTCTGTGTAAATGTGTTTTTTATTTTAATAAACATCCAAACAATTTTTTTCAATAATGAACCAAAACGATATATTCAATGTTGCTTAACATACTTCACTTGCGTTTTGGGGAAAATGTGTGAAAATTTTAAAACTTACTTGAAAGTACCAAAATTCCAAAAAAGTACTTGGAATGAAATATTTTCCAAAAAAGTACCAAATTCATGTTCACAAAATTTAATTTTGCAATATCGTTTTGTGGGCATTTTCATAAAAATATAATTTATTCAATAACGAAAGAGAATATAAATGTGTAACAAGCACGCTGTGTGTGACAATTATAACTTACGTACTATTCCCAAATAGTTTGAACTACTAAATGTCAAAAATTTAAATTCGCGCCGCTGAATAGTTGCTAAATATACCGCAGATCCTATTTAGTCGCTACCGCTATTCACTGTCACGTCAAATACATTGGTTCTTATGGGAGAGAAGCACAGGTTGTTTATTTCGCACACTAGATCAACTCAGACACCCATCGGGCAAACTCAGCTCGTAATTATTTGAGAAGACCTTCAAAAAGTTCCATACACACCTTAGGGGTGATCAATTTTCAAAAAAAAAAGGATTCAAAATGTAATAGTGCGGGATCGAAAGATCATGAGGAGAGATGAAAATTTTGTTCCGGCACTTTTTTCTTATATAGTACCTGGTGTCACCCCGGATTTTTTTTTAAAATCACCTAAAAAATGACCGTTTTTCGACATATCATCGCAA